CTGGGGCCCCGCACGCGGCTCCTGGCGGAGGGGGCCGGGCCTCTCGGCCTTGGGCTCCTTGTCCTTCGGGGCAGGGTCCGGCCTGTGACAGGCTGGCAGGACCTTTTCACCTTTCTCCATGGACTTGATCTGGCTGGGGGTCAGCGACTGGAACTCGGCCTCCGGGCCCTCCCCGCGTGACCGCTCGGCGTTGATCTTCCAGAAGGTGGCTTCCTCTTCCCTCCGGGCGGGGCCCGGGGCATCCAGGCCAGGGGGCTTGCTGCCCTGGGGGGGCCGAAGGGCCTGCGAGCCCGGAGCGGCTTTGGACGGCAGCCTGGGCTCGCCGGCGGGGCCGCTGCTTGGCTCCTGGATGCATAAAGAGGAGACGCTAAACTCCATCTGGCTCTGCGGGAACAAGGGGAGAGAGCGGCCCTTAGACCCGACCGAGCAGGCGCGCCAGCTCCCACAGCCCCCCTGCAGCTCCGACAGCCCCCGCCCCGGCAGTAATAACGCTGCTTTGTTGTCCATCTCCTGGAACTTTTTAATTTGAAGATGTAACTGGCTTTATTAAGCAATTCATGAACCGGCCTAGCAACTAGAAGGGCGCTCCCTGGAACTTCCTGTCTGTCCCGAGTGTCACTTTCAGGATGGTCATCGCACACCTGAGACACAGCCCCAGCTCTGATGCCCAGGCCCTGTCACTGTCCACGCTGCCAACAGCTCAGAGGCCCCGAATCCTACTGCTCAGTAAGTCTCTCTGCTTGGAGGGCAGAGCACAGTCTGCTCACGAATGATCCCAAGGCCTTCCTGAGGAGCGGCTGCTGTGCGGGTGACCGCCCTCCCTGGGGAGGTGACGAGGGGGGTGCACAGCTCAACATAACACAGCACTGCACCAGGGTCAAACCCTGGGCCTCACCCTGGCTCTTCCCGCCTGATCTACAACAGCAAACAAGAGTGAAAGAAACCAGCGGAGCCAGACCCTGCTCTGCAAGAAAGTTGAGGACAGGCCCGGGTGTGGCTGCAGGGACCCGGCCCCCCCCTGCCTGACACTCCGCCTTCACACCTGCGATGGACTGAAGCGTGTCCCTCACATTCGCACACTGAAGCCCTCACCCCCGAAAGCGATGGTGTTAGGAGGTGGGGCCTTCGGGAGGCCTTAGGTTTAGACGATGTCATGAGGGTGGGGCCCCCACGATGGGATTAGCACCCTTGTAAGAAAATACTTGAGAGATGATCTTTCTCTCCACCCTGGGGGGACACAGCAAGAAGACGGCCCTCTGCAAACCCAGAAGAGGGCTCCCCCAGGACCTCACCCCACCGGCACCCTCCAGCCTCCAGAACTGCTAGACGTCAGTGTCTGCCGTCCGAGCCGCGCAGTCTGCGGTGTCTATTACAGCAGCCCGAGCCACCAAGACGGCATGTCGCTCCACGGGTTTCCTCCCCAGGACGGTCCCACTCGGCACTGCTCCGCTGGTCCCGGTCCCGTACGCCAGGACACCGCTACCCACGAGGGACTGCAGGCCAACCGAGGGCAGGCAGGGCCCGGCACAGCCCACACCCCACATCCAAGGGCCCCAGAAATGCTTTCCGCAATCCGATGCTGCTAACCACAGCGATCTCCAAAAAAGATAGTGCCGGGCTGTTCTGACCAACAAATCGTTAGGCGGAAACCTAAGCCCAAGTTAGATCGGAACACGCCGGAGGATGTCATCCCCACGCTCCTCAGAACAAGAGATCTGCCTTCTAGGTCGCTCCTAAAATCAGTCTTGACAATTCCTCTCTTCCTCACCACTTCGGCTCCCCCTCTTCCGTATTTTTTAAATAAAAGTAATTAAACTACAATATAGAAAGTTTGGGAATTGGAAAAAAGAAGGAAAAAAATCACTGATGGCCTGGCCGAATGACTTGGTTGGTTGGAGCTTCATCCCGTACACCAAGAGGTTTCGGGTTCAATTCCCAGTCAGGGCACATACTTAGGTTGCAGGTTCGATCCCCAATCAGGGCGCGTATGAGAGGCAACAAATCCATGCTTCTCACATCAATATTTCTCTCTCTCTCTCTCAAATCAATAAAAACATATCGTTGAGTGATTAAAAAAATCACTGATAACCCTTACCTCGTCCCATAATCACTGCTCCCTTTGTATTTTTGTGTAATCTTTTCCACATACATATTTTATGAGGCTGCAGTTCTGTTAGGCATATAATTTGTACGTATTGTTTTCTCACTTAACATAAACATCACCCATGGTGTCACATGGTCTTTATAACCATAATTTAATGGGAGCGAGATGTTTTACTGAGTAACTGTTCCAATATCTACTTAGCGACTTATTACCGGACAATTTGCTTCTAATTTCTGTTGCTATAATTAAGGTCGCCACAAATGTCTCCATGGACACAGCTCTGCCCCGTTTGGAGTTGATCTCTTCAAACAGATTTGCAGAAGTAAAATGAGCACCAGCATCCGTCACTGCCTGTCTTCACCGAGAATGATGATTTAAGACTATGCGTGTTCACTTGCATACGAAATATGGTTCTTTATTACTTCAATGCATAGTCCTTCACTTAATAACTGGTTGACTCAGGTCTTTTCATTTTTACACGCAGCCCTCTCCCAGGTGGCACAGACATGTTTAAGGAAAGGAAGAAAACATTGCTTTTCCTGTAGAAACTGCAGGCCCTGACCCCAGACAGCCACGCGCGCTCAGTCGGAGACTTCCAACAGCCCGGAGTCTGACGGCAGAGGTCTTCCCTCAAGGCCCAGAAGATGAGACGACGAGGCCACCAAGAACTCAAGTTCAAATCCCAAGCACAGGCTGCCTTAAAGCTCCACGTAGTAAGAAATAAAACCCCAAACAAGGCAGGAGCCCCCTGGCTCAGCCAGGTGCAGTGGTTCAGAGCAAATGCAGATTAACGAAAGCCTCCCATGCAGAGCGCACTTCTGTTGTTGGTTTTTGTTTTTTAAATTTCCCTTCTACAAAAGAGAAAATGGAGGTTTGGGGCCAAGTCCATTAGGAGCCATGCAGCTGAGGTTTCAACCTGGATCAGGCGAGTCCAGGTCTGAAGCTGTGTGGGCACCGCGGCAGAGACAGAAAGCCAGGAGTCCCCAGGATGACGTTCCTGTGAACGGCAGGGAGCCTTGTACGTGGCAGGATTTCTATGTAAGTACGTCAAGGATCTTATTTGGTTTTTAAAGGTCTGTTTCTGAGGCAAACCATCTGCACCCAGCATATTTCCAAATTCCACAACAAAATAGATGCTGTGGGCACAGAGATGATGGTTTCTTTAAATAAACAAAAGCTGGAAAAAAAAGCTCCAAGTGGGGAGCAAGCCTCTGAGAACAGAGCTGCCTTTGATCTGGAAATTGTAGTGTGAGGAAGGCACTTCAACATGAGCATTTCATCAAGCCCCAGGCTTTTTTGGGATCAGCAATTTCCCAGCAGGGATCTCTGCTTAGAAGCCTCTGGAAAGCTAGGCTAACATTTGCAGCATGGAGGGGAGCAATGGGCCGAGCCAGGGACGCTGGGGAGGGAGACGGCGGTCACAGTGGCTCCAAAGCTGCTTCGGGAGCTCAAGCAGCACTTAGCTGGATGTGACAGTCTCACACAGAAAGACAGAGACTGTCCCCATGGCTCCTTGGGCAGCCGGAGACCACAGCCCACCTCCTCAAGGCAGGGTGTCACCTGGCTAGAAGAGGGGGCCATGCTGACATAAGTGGCTACCTAGATTGGGGGCTTTGGGGTGAAAATGAGGAAAACAAGAATTTACAGAAGAAAACCATCCCAGCAGATCTGACCCTAAGACTTTCCCCCCAAGCATATGTTGTTTTTTTATTTTGCAAATGAAATATGATGACAATCTCCTTTAAAAAACAGTCCTTGCCCTGCCGGGCGTGGCTCAGCCATTGAGCATCAACCTAGGATCCAGGAGATCGGGGTTCGATTCCCGGTCAGGGCACAGGCCCGGGTTGTGGGCTCGATCCCCAGTAGGGGGCGTGCAGGAGGCAGCTGATCAATGACTCTCTCATCACTGATGTTTCTATCTCTCTCTCCTCCTCTCCCTTCCTCTCTGAAATCAATAAAGATATATTTAAAAAAAACCAAACACAGTCCTTGATTAACTGTGCTGGTCTCATCCCCACTGCTCACCCCAGAGAAAGGGT